CATCGCCCGGGCCCCCCAGGGGGGCAGCCGGCGGCAGGAGCGGGGAGCTGCGGCGACCCTCCTCTGCCGGCCTCCTCTCCCTCGTCACCACCGCTGTGCGGCAAACGCAGCGAGGCCGGCCGGGTGTTCTGGCCCAGCGGTGAGGGCTTTCTCCCCTGCCACCTCCTTCTGCTCCTCCTGGCCCTCGGGGTGATTCTTGTTTGCCTGTGCCACCGGCATCCCTGGGCTCTGTGCTCCTCTGCCCAGCAGCTAAGGCAGCCGCAGGTGGTTTGCAGGGGCGCGTTCCTCAATACTTGTGCATCGAAACTACGAATGGACTGGACTAAAGGTAGGGGAAGGAACTGCGCTCAGGTCAAGTGTGCCGGTAGGCGGCAAGACCGTCAATGGCAGACACAGCAGCTTTTGTTGGTAGGTATGTCTGCCGAGCAGAGCTGCAGCTCTGTGTGAGAGGGATGTTGTGCCTGGCCTGCACAGAGCATCTCTGGAGTCATGGAGTTATGACGGGTTTTGAGGACGGGCCACTGACTGTAAGAGAAATGGTGGCTTAAAAGAAGGAGCTAGGCCATTCTTCTGCTGTGGTTGCATATTCTTGTGAGGTCTAGATTCCAAACAGGGCGCTATGCTCTTTGGGACAGGGCGGTCCCTCCACGCGTGTTTGTACAGCACCTAGCATCTCTGATCCCAGCAGCTGCTTTCCCACAAACCCAGTGGAGGCTGAATCCACGACCCATCACACTGAACAAAGCTGCAGGCCATTAAAATGGGCCTGTATGAGTCCTTCTGTTATCTGGCACTTCAAAGGTCCCTATAGGCAGTCGCTCCTCCCTCTTTCCACCTCTGGCTTTTCCCCTTGAAGACACTCCTTCCTCCTCCTCTCCCCGCTCACCAGATGTACGCAGCTGTCAGCAGCATGTAAGATTTACATCTTTCTTCTCCAGTGCCGCTCCTATAGTGCTCTTGGGGTTTATGTTTGTTTTATTTTAGCCAGTTCACTAAAACCAGTTCCTCTTCCTCTCCCTCTGGCTATTATCCTCCCCCTTCCCAGCTGTTGGTCTGCAATTTCTACACCCCCATAATCTACATTGGCAGCTGCATCCCTAAATCCCACCAGCTGCTGGTCCGTGGGCCAGTCAAAGCAGGTGGAAGGAGCGGGTCAGCCAGGGCCTCAGGGGACCCGAGGCTCTGCTGGTACGAGCAAAAACATTGCGGCAGGGCGTGTGGTGTGGTGGTGGCAGGCGCAGGGTGCGGGAGCGATCCAAGGGCGGGCTCTGGCCCATGGTTAAGGTGGGGTTAAGGTGGTTAGGGTGGGAAGGACAGGTGCTGCTTGGTATTGATAACTCCGTAATGGAAAGCCTGCAGTGAGCTGTCTGCTGACGTGCCTAGCTCTGCTGACTGCAGTTAGTAAAGGATTTTTTACCACTTGCTATGTTAACTTTTACTCTAGTTTATATATTTTTAAAGATACTTACCTAATCTAAGTGAACTTCTTTGCAGTTAGAGCAAAGAAGAGGCTGAATAAATACTGCACTGTGCTGCAGCATTGATGGAGAGTGGATTTAGCTCAAACTTTGATTTGTATGTGTGCGTGCACAGAGGAAATGGAAAATACAGAAAATGGTATTTGCATGACAGCATTCATTTTGCTGCTATTGTTTAAAGTGGTATTTCAATTACTTTCTTTGCAATTCCAACAAAATCCAATGAAAACTAAAGGATATCAGTCTAGTCATATTAAAATCACTTGAGAGTTTCCTAATATTAGAAAGATGGCCGTTTGATTTTTTCTGGAAGTAGAAAATGTATGTTGGTTTGCTTTTTTTTTTTTTTCCTACCAGAGGGACCTAAGCTTTATTATAGTTGCTGTGCTTAATAAGCTTAAAAAAAAAAATGAGAACACCTGTTACTAACAGTTGCAGCTATAAGATTCCAAAACATGGCAGATGTGTCCCATGGTGATGTCTCAAACTGTATCAGTGTTTATGGTTTTTTTTGTCACTAAAGCACCCACTTGTCCTTTGGCAATGGGAGATTCTGAAAAAAAGGAACAGCGCTGAAAAAGCAGGGAGAGAGGTGCCATTCATATCCTCCCAGAAGCCACCTAGGTGGGGTGGGGGTTGAATTTGCTCCTCTTTCTTGCCTTTACGAAAAATAATATTATGTCAGAAAACTAGGTTTTAATCCTCCATGAGATAAGAAAAGCAGAGAAGCCATGGAGAGAAAGTCAGTTCCTGAAATAATCAGGGTGCTATGAAGTTCCTCCTCCTTACAGCCTGTAGAGACTGGCTTCTTTCCTGCAGGCCAGAGATTTCCAGGGCCCTGTATCGCAATCCCATGGGCAGCAGTGCCTGCT